CTCCGTGGTCGTGCAGGAACTTCTGGTTATCTTCTGATGTTTTAATCTTAATTTTCTTTCCTTTAAAATTAAAAGATAAACCTTAGGAAACTCCCACCTATATGGAATCGCGTTTCCTCTCAGTAGTCTTGCTAGGTCTGTATATGTGGCTCTAAGATCCAAAAGTTGTTTAGGAATATCTCTATAAAATTCTGCTCTTTTGCCTTGGATATCAAGTGATTTCTTAAAGTGGAGGCCTAGTATTTTATCTCTCTCCTGCTTGGATCTCAAAATGATCAAACAGTCTCTGGGCTTGTCCCTCCTCACGACTCTTCCTAATCTGAACGCAGTTGTGATCTTGAAATCTTTGTCCTCTTCTATACCCCAGAACTTGGAAAATTCTGCTGTCAGATAACCAATTAAATCTTCCTGTTCAAGCTCTGGGATAGCTCTTAATCTCAGATTGTTTTCCCGGTTTCTCAATTCCACCATAGACAGGTAAGCCTGCTGATCACTAATGTGCTTGTGTAGTGGCCTTACCTCCCTTTTATAGCCTCAACTTTTTGATTTGCTTGTTCTGCTTTTTCATTGGCTGCTTCAGCCAGTCTCCGATTTTCCACAGTTGCTTCCTTGAGATTCCCAATAACTTGTGTATGTTGTGCAACTTGGTCAGACAATTTAGTAATAGAGGATGTGGCTTGATCTATTTTTGCCGATTGGTCATCCACCTTCTTGTTCAATATTGCAAATTGTTCTAACATTTGTTGTAAGAAGGTATCTGATCCTCCCTCTGCCATATCCTCTGATGCAGGCTGTGCAATTTCCTTTTCTTGTACTCCCAAAACAGCTGGGACAGATGATCTACGTGACTGAGTAGTCAAAGTTGTTTGCACAAGTTGGGCTTGTCTTGCTTTCGTTTTCGCAGATCTTGTTTTCGGTTGGCCACTCATTCCACACCTGTCTATGAGTCAAGGTCAAGCTGTATATTGTCCCATGGGAAGGACAGTTCCAAAGTGTAAATAACAAAGCAGCAGATAGTCCAAATAAAATTTGTTCCCAGGCACTTGTAATTCCAGAACTCCACTAGGGGAGTATTACTGTAGTTCATAGAAAGGAAAGAACTTTATCCGCCATTAAAGTCCCGGCAGCCTCAAAACAGTCTAATTTACCAAAAGTTCTTCATAAACTTTTTAGCTTACAGAGCACGTCCCAAGCTGCCACAAAGTCTCAGATAAAAGGTGCCAGTAACAGTTTATTTAATTGTATCTTGCCAGTATCACTCAACTGTAACAGTCTCTATTTTGGATACAGTTTCCGCAATAATAATAATAATAATAATAATAAATTTTATTTATATCCCGCCCTCCCCAGCCAAAGCCAGGCTCAGGGCGGCTAACAACAAACAAATAATCAAACAATCAAATAATCCAACATTCTAAAACATTTCATTATAAAATTAATTAAAATCAAATTAATGGCAACCGTTAAGCAAAGTTCTGCGCAGGTTGCCGGAGGTGGAGTCAGGCTGGGCCCTGACCAAAGGCCTGGTGGAACAACTCTGTCTTGCAGGCCCTGCGGAAAGATGTCAGGTCCCGCAGGGCCCTAGTCTCTTGTGACAGAGCGTTCCACCAGATTGGAGCCGCAGCCGAAAGCCCTGGCTCTAGTTGAGGCCAGCCTGACCTCTCTGAGGCCTGGGACCTTCAGGATGTTTTTATTTGCAGACCGTAGGTTCCTCTGTGGGGCATACCAGGAGAGGCGGTCCCGTAGGTACGAGGGTCCTAGGCCGTATAGGGCTTTAAAGGTTAAAACCAGCACCTTAAACCTGATCCTGTACTCCACCGGGAGCCAGTGCAGCTGGTATAGTACCGGATGAATGTGATCTCGCAGCGAAGACCCCATAAGGAGTCTCGCCGCGGCATTCTGCACCCGCTGGAGTTTCTGGGTCAGTCTCAAGGGCAGCCCATCGTAGAGCGAGTTACAATAATCCAGTCTGGAGGTGACCGTCGCGTGGATCACAGTGGCTAGGTCAGGGCGAGAGAGATAAGGGGCCAACTGCTTAGCTTGGCGGAGATGAAAAAATGCCGCCTTTGTTATAGCTGTAATCTGCGCCTCCATAGAGAGGGAGGTATCGAAGATTACACCCAAACTCTTAACGGACGGTGCTGGCACTAATTGCACCCCGCAAGAGATGGGAGTTGCCCCCAATCCCATATCGTCCCGTCCCAGCCAGAGGACCTCTGTCTTCGAAGGATTTAACTTCAACCGGCTTCCGCGTAACCATCCAGCCACAGCTTCCAAACATCTGGTCAGTGTGTCTGGGGCCGAGTCAGGATGGCCATCCATCAACAGATAGAGTTGGGTGTCATCGGCATACTGATGGCAGCCCAGCCCAAAACTCCGGACAAGCTGGGCGAGGGCGCATAAAGATGTTAAAAGCATCGGGAGAGTATCGCACCCTGAGGCACTCCACACACCAAGGAGTGGCGGGATGACAATTCCCCCCCAAGCGCCACCCTCTGTCCCCGACCGGAGAGAAGCGAGCGCAGCCATTGAAGGACTGTGCCCTGGATCCCCACGTCGGCAAGGCGGTGGTCCAGGAGTTCGTGATCAACCATGTCGAAGGCTGCTGACAGGTCTAGAAGAATCAGCAGCCCCGACCCGCCTCGATCCAGCTGCCTGCGGAGATCATCTGTTAGGGCGACCAGAGCCGTCTCGGTCCCATGACCAGCGCGGAAGCCAGACTGGAATGGATCCAGAGCAATGACAGCTCTCTTTTTTTCCTGTCAGTCCGAGGTTTGGTTCTTAATTCTTTATAATCCATAAAGGGGAGGAAAGTCCCATTTAAAGTCCAAAACACTTAGAAATAAAAATCTTTTCTCCTTCTTTTTAAAAGCCAATTCTATCAACACGATAGTCCCAAATTTATAATCTTTTAAAACTGCTTCCCGCTTGTTAAAATCTTTGCCTTTGATCTTTAAAGCACTGCCGGAAGACGGACTTCCTGTTTATCGTCTCCCGCTTTCAGCCAAATTTAACACTTTTAGTCCCAAATTGATTGATCCTTACTCACGAGTAGGTAGTTTAGTATCTGATGTTCCAAGAAGAAAGGTCGGCGCGCATCCGCAGCAGCCGCGCGGCTCGCTCCCGCAGAAAGAGCGATGAACTCACAGCACCGCTCCCCTTCCACGTTTCCGGGCCCCTTACGGGGTTCCTTCTTCGTTTTTGGGGTCGCTCCTGGTGCCCGCCGAGTCCCACGGCCACGGGCTCACTCTGCCCGTGGTTTTTCTTAATGGGTCACCGCTGTGCCGCAGCGGACGACCCTTTTCTGCGGAGCCCCTCTTCAGAGACCGAAGAGGACCGCCATTGCCGTTTCGCGCCGCCTCCAGGAAGCCCTTAACCTGAAACT